AATGAAGGGTGGGGGGTAGTGAAGGGGAAGGCGAAGGGGCTATTGGGTATTCACGTGAAGGCAGGAAATCACCCAAATGTCTCATATAAAAAAAAATATTTTTTTTTACATAATGTTTAAAGATTTATAACATTTAAATGGAACAATTACGAATGTATTTTAGAAATTGAGTAGGAATGTTAAGTCTTTAAAATGTTGAAAAGTGTGTGGTGTGGTGTGAGTGTTTACGTTGAAAAGTGTGTAATGTGAGTGTGTACTGTGAGTGTTTACGTTGAAAAGTGTGTAATGTGAGGGTGTGGTGTGAGTGTTTACGTTGAAAAGTGTGTACTGTGAGTGTTTACGTTGAAAAGTGTGTACTGTGAGTGTTTACGTTGAAAAGTGTGTACTGTGAGTGTTTCGTAAGGATTCAGATATGGCTTTCATCTTTTCCCCACATTACAAAGACCACCTCAATTTGTCTTATCTGTTCATAACGTTTCTTGGATAGGATATCCTCTCGTGTGTGTCCCCGACTCACTTTGGGGTATCATGAATGGGGAAATAATTAAACCACCACCACTACTACCACCACCACTATCACCACCACCACTACTACTACCACCACTGTTCCCTGGTGCGGATATGTGCTTATTTATAATGTCGTTGTGTGGTGCTGTTTGTCATCACTGTGATTGGTTGGTTCCTTCCTGGCCAAGTTTGATCGAATGTGAAGAGTTTAATGGGTTGGGAAATTTTTTTACCTTGTTAGTAGAATAATTATTATTTTTTTTTGTAAGGGGGGAGTGGGTGGTATATGTCGTTGTAATATGGAGTGTATTCAGTTCGTTTTGTCTGTCTGTCTGTCTGTCTAGGTATCTATCTGTCAGTTTGTCTGTCTGTCTGGTCAAAATATTCTTCCCTCGATGGACGTTTCTGAATGGATGTGTCGGCCACCCGAGTTACGACTGTCAGGGATTTCTGGCTTGAGTCTCATTCTCCTCCATCTCCGGGGGGTGGTGGGGTGAGAGAGGGGTTACCATGTGCATTTGTTTCTACATTATATCACTTATTATTATCTTTTACGTCCTTTCTCTCCGTCGTTCACCTATTCTCCTATCCCTTGTATCCTTTTCGTTAATCTTCTTCCTCTTCCCTTTCTTCGTCATTTTTCAATCCTAAACTACAGTAGTAGGGAGACATTATCTAATCCCCACCCAAAAAAAAAAAATCCGACCCTAAATTAAAATATCCAATCCTAAACTAGTAAAGCAAAATTATCCAATCTTTTAAAAAATAACCCAACCCTAAATATTAAGAATGGACATAAATATTATCCATCCCAAAAATCGTCTTTTAAAACTATCCACGAGTGTTGTGTTTGGACGTCCCCAGTGTGTGTGTGTGTGGCGGGAGGGGAGGGAGGGAGGGGGGAGGGTGTCGCTTCCTAGCAACCTCTTCTCTCATTTTCTTCTTCTTACCTGTTGTGTAGTTCCTTATCTTCACGCCTCGCCTCGCCTGACAGGTATATATCTCGTGTGGTTTATACAAGCTGGTAATGAGTCTAGACCTCCGCCGTGTGTATGTGTGTTGACATTTATATCGCCCCACGTGACCTATCAATCGCCTCTGTTTATTCTCTGTGCTTTAACATTTGGTGTACATCTCTTTGGCTTCCATTTATTGTTATGTTATGAAAATTTACTTCTTAATATTTACCTTTACATCGTTATTGATGTTCTGTTTCTCCTCAACCTTGTTTTGATACCTGGCAGTGGTTGATGGTGCGTGAGTTGTGCCCGCGCGAGGAGTTAGGACACGCGTTCAATTCACCTTGACATTTGGTTTTTCTTTACAGTTTACCTCCTGTGCTTGTATGTAAGTAGTGACAGGTGTAGGTGAGAGAGTCAGGTTTTGAGTTAAGGTGCAGGTGTGAGAGTCAGGTTTGAGTTGAGGTACATGTGTGGAGGGGAGAGAGTCAGGTTTGGGTTGAGACACAGGTGTGTGAGACGTGATCGTTTACTCTTGAGCCAGACAGACACGTGAAGGTTTGGAAACACGACACCTGTCACGCAATCTGGGTCCCTTCTCCTAGGTCACGAAAGGTCTGTGTCCACCCCTCTTCCAGGTTACGAATGGTCCTTGTCCACCCCTCTTCCAGGTCACGAAAGCTGTGTCTACCCCTCTTCCAGGTCACGAAAACTGTGTCCACCCCTCTGCCAGGTCACAGAAGCTGTGTCCGTCTTTCAGGTCACGTGGGTTCAGTGACCTTGGATCGAAAGTTCTATTTGTAGAAATAAGGTAAATGACCCACGTAGGATTAAACTGTGACGTAAACGAGCTTAACACACATAGGTTTAAACAGTGGCTTTGGATGGTACTAAAATGATAAAATACTTGAACTTCAGTGTGATATGCTTAGATGACGAGGTACCGATGTGTGTGTGTTTAAGGTCGTTTCTCACGTATCCTTACCCCACTTCGTGAGGTTTTGAAGCTTCCTCCTTATCCGTGACCCAAGAGAGTTTGCAGCTGTAGGTAGAAGGCGAGGGTGACTCTCCGTCCAGGTATCTTGGGAACGTGATAGGTTAAACATAAATCCGAAATTAATTTGCCTTGAATCTTGAAAATTTATATATAAGTGGAGGCGGGGAACTCTGTATTCCGGTATGGTCAGGTCAGGTCAGGTCACCCTCATAGGGGGAGGTGGTACACAGGTGGTACACCGATTGGGGGGGGCTTCCATTACTGTAATTGGTGGCTTCCCTTTCCTGTTGGTCATTACACAAGGTTTCCGGCTCTGCTTCATTTACACGTAGTCACTCCTGCTGGTGACAAAATTCCGTGACGTTCTTGAGTGTGTCCTGATCATGTTATGTTTCGTGTTAAATAAGGTGTTGGAAGCCGAGCCTGGATCACGTACAGTACGTCTTTACTATCCAAAAAATATCGTTTATATCGGAATCAGGATGCTGGATAGACAATGGCGTTCATGTACTTGTTACAGAAGATTTATATGTCGAGTTATACAAGATGATTCAGTTCTGGCAGAGATGAGTGAATGTTTACTGTACAGGTTAATGTGACCTTTACGATACACACCCGTAATGACGCCATCTTTTTATTTGTGTACACCTCCTTCATGGCCACCACACACGTCTGGTAGCGTACATGGAGTGTTTACCTGTTGTTTACTTGGCTCCAACTTCACGGGCACGGGCCTTCATTGTTTCCTCGCACCATTTGATCACCGAAATGTATCCACGTGTCTCAAGTACACATACAATACTGCACACTGAAACAGGCACGATAAACACACACGGCCACTATTGTATACTAGTCACAAACACTCCAGGTGTTCTTGGTGCAGTGAACACGTTTGGGATATTGACAGGTTGACTGTAAAGTAAAAATAAATAAAATGAAATGTAAGGAGCTGAAGTCATACAGATGATACAGGGACAACGTGTGGTGCCGGTACTGAGGACAACCCTTGTGGATGTTGTGGAGACGAAGATCAAGAGACTGAGGGAAATGTGAGGAGCTGGAGTGAGAGGGAGGGGGGACCAGGTGGAGCACGTCAGGTGAGCTACACCACCACCAGGTAGTCAATACGTGCGGCGTAGTAACCCCTTCTCACTCCCTCCCTCCTCTCCCTCACCTCACCCACACTGTAGTACCCCTTCACACGTGTTCTGGTCGACCCGCTCGGTCATTCACATGACACACAGCTGGCACTACCCGTGTGTCGAGCCACGTGTGATATTCCTGACGTGGTACTTTACTCGTGGCATCCTAGGCACGAGAGTCATTAACCGGAGTCTCTGTAGTGAGAGCTGCCCGTACCTCCGTAATGCTCAGGTCTTTCACACTAAAAGAATTTAACCATTAGAATAATTAGATGGGCTGCTACTTGTTGATGGCGGTGTAGTGTGTGTGTGAGGTGTTGTGATGTGTGAATGTTATCGACCTGTATTGTGTTGTCATGAAGGTAGTTGTGGCCAAGCGTCCTGGCGTGTATTTTTTTCTGATATCGGGTTTTGAGACTTGGTTATCGTTCTCCAAGCTAACATTCTAACACTTACTATTACTTGTGTTACATCAAAGAAGATATGAAACACAAAGACCGCAGTAAGCGAAAGGTATTTCATTACATTTTCTGGGTGAGAGATTTGACACTTAGTATTTTTTATTACACTGTTGAACGAAGAATAGCACATAGTATATATAATATGTGAGAGGTCTGTGGTGACGTGGGGCGGCGCTCACAAGCCTTGGTCGACACCTGCTGCCTGGTAAACGGTGTGAGGTGTATCTCCAGCCTCTCCTCCACCTGCTATAGCTGGGTGGGGTGTGAGGCCGAAGGTTGTGAGGTACTCCCACGTCGCCCCTCACACGCCCAGGGCTCACGGGTATCACTGTCGGGGAAAGGATAACATGGAGGAGGAGGAGGGAGGGGGGAGGTTAGGGCAGGGGGAGATAGAGCAACAGTGAAGACAAAGTATTGTCACCCATTCTTCGTACGTACTCCGAAGTCAGCGTTTACTTAGTAGAGTTCTGTATCTAATAATTTGTTATCGTTGTTGGACTATTGTATTACTAACCTTATTGCGCGCTTAAAGACCTTCGGTGTTGAAGCGCAGTAATAACATAGCGTAACAACAACAACAATAGCGTTTACTTCTGTCCAGCCGGGGTCAACGTGGGACGGGGGGAGGGAAGGCGGTGACAGTCCTATACGATAAGATAAACTATTAATCACACACGGTGAAACCTACGGCCTGAAACCAGAGGAACTTAACACTAACCAGTACTTATACTACACAAGGACAAGGAAATATTATCAAGATGTAAATAACCTTATAATGACCCTTGTTGCTGTCATGCACTAGAGAACAGAGAGAGGAAATTATACAGTTTCTTGTTGTTATAAATGTGATGGTGATGTGTGTACACTGTTGTTGTGATGTCTCTGTATGTACAACTAAGGAGTTTGGTGGCAAGTGGTGCAGTATTAAGAGTAGTTATGTTCTGTTGTACAGGTTATCCTGGTCTGCCGGTGAGTGCGGCGGCCGTGGTGGCGGCAGCAGCGGCACAACAACAAGCACAAGCTGCCAACAGTCAGAGCCAACAAGGGTCATCACAGGGACCCGGCAGTACCCGCACCACCTCCCCCGAGGGCCCCAACTCCTCCACCAACGGGCCTTCGCCCATGGCGGCCCTCCAGAGTGTGACGGACAACCTGCCGCCGGGCTCCCCTCACAGCCACGCCTCCGCCTCCCCCCAGCAGCGCTCAGCATCCAGGAACTCATCACAGCTGTCCCCATCCTCAGGTACATCTCCGTCCTCCCTTATCCTTTATTCCTGTTAGTTATACAAATGTACATGTGATGCTGCATCCTTCTTCCTAACGTGTACATGAGTGAATGTAATGCACATTCTTTTAGTTTAAATATGACCGTGTGGTGTTTACATCTTTTCTCTGATAATATAAATGGTTGTGTGCGCTATATACACTCTTTCTTCAACCTGTATGTATATATATATATATATATATATATATATATATATATATATATATATATATATATATATATATATATATATATATATATATATATATATATATATATATATATATATATATATATATATATATATATATATATATATATATATTTTTTTTTTTTTTTTTTACACTGGATAACCCAAGTCACTAATAGGTTTAAGTATGATATAATCATTGTGAATAATATAGATATAATTAAATATTCAAAAGACTATGAAGTTGGGTTGTAAGTTGACATAGTTTTGCCCTCGACTGTGAGGCTGATTTGAGAAGGTGTTTGTTCACGTGGCAGGAGAGCCGAGGCGGAGATCATCTGGCGGGAGACACGGTGATTCGAGTGGAGACAGCAGCCCGGGGGCCCAGGGCAGCGGAACAGGCAATGGGGGTAGCGGTAGTGGCAGCGAAGCCCCGCAGCCCAGCAACAACCTCAAGTGCACCATATGTACTGAGCGGTTGGAGGACACCCACTTCGTGCAGTGCCCCTCCGTCCTCCACCACAAGTTTTGCTTCCCCTGCTCCAGAGAGTCCATCAAGCGACAGGGCGCCGGCACTGAGGTCTCTCCTTGCACCATCTCGTTAATCTCTTACTCCAGATTCCTCACTATCTCTTACTGTTTAGTCTCTCTCGCTCATACCTCTTTACCTGCCGCTGTACTGTACACCTTTTACTCTACTGTCTCACCACAGTGTTCCTCTCGCTTGTGTCTGTAATACTCACCTCTCTCTAGTACTTACTCTTAACTCTAGTGTCTCATACATATCTAGTCTCATTGTTGTACCGTGTACTTGAATATTAACACTTTTGGTCATATACTGTATATAAAATTTTAGATGATTATTAGATTTACTTAATACTTATGTAATTACATTGGTGAGGTGCCTGATGCATATACTGTAGAGTGAAGTGAATAACTTGACATGTTTTTGTTCTCAGGTATATTGCCCCAGTGGTGAGCGGTGTCCCTTGGCCGGGTCGTCGGTGCCGTGGGCCTTCATGCAGGGGGAGATTGCCACTATCCTGGGCACGGCCAACATCCTGCCCCAACACTCACAGGATGAAGCCAAGACCAAGAAGGAGCGCGACACATAGGCTGCGCCGTGCGAGATTCCTCTGGTTTTAGTTAAAAAGGTTGCCAGCGATGCTTAGCTGGTGACTTTTGTCGGCGTCGACCGCAACGTGCGTGTTCGGCGTGGTGACGCTGTACTAGCGTGTCCAAATGGTGCTGGATCCGGTCCTTGCTGTGGACTCTGCCCGTTAGTGGTGGTGATGGCAGCGGCCGGGGCCCCCACGGTGCCTCGAGGCCATACCACCAGCTGTGTGTTGGGCGTCGCCATACGGGAGGCGACCAGGGTGAGAGGGCAGAGTCAGCTAGTCCAGGGAGTCTACACTAGTGACTGTTAGCCAACTATGCGGACATTCAGTGTGTCAGTAAATTGGTTCACTCCTCTGGGGGTGGCCAAATTTCCTGCCTTTATAAGGAGTGATGACTTTCTGCCATGAGATATTGGTGATCTGTCGTGGCAGGACAGTGGGACAACTCAGTGAAAATGATCATCACAAGTCAAGGATCATCTACTGGTTGATGTTACCAGAGCATGTGGAATTTTGTTTGTAGGAGAACCCCGAGGTTGAGACCGCCTGGGGTGAAGAGCGGCGACGAGCGTGGCCCAACGGCTACCCATAGGGAGTGAGTAAACTTGTGTCGTCCTGGGTCAACTATGGCTGCTTCTCATGAGCGCCTTGACCTCAACCTGTCGTTGGCTTCAAGCTGTCGTCAGTCTCAAGATATCATTGACTTCAAGATGTTGTTGTTGTCAGGATATTATTGACCTCAGGCTCCGTTGTCAGCCTCACGCTATTAGATATCGTCGACATCAAGCTGACATTGACCTCAAGCTGTTGTCGACTTTCAAAGATGTCGTCCCACTCTCGGTCCATATTCTTGTGCTGATTTCTTCACAAGTTTTACCTTCAGAGTTGAGCAGAATTGTTATTGTAATCTCTTAGGCTGTACATATGTGTACAATCAACACAAACACATACCCACACATCACTCATGTACACATAAACACACACACAGACACACACACACACACACACACACACACACACACACACACACACACTGTAACTTCTCACACACTGCTCCAAGACCGTGTGACGTTCGCAATGACCAAAGGCTTACCTTGTATATTGATTGATAGGAATATATTACTTTAGTGTAATGTGATAACACACTTAGCCTACTAGTCATTTATGATACTGGGTAATTTTGGTACAGTATCACAATTTGGAACTCCGTACTCGCTTTTGTAGATTTGTAAATGTTCCAAATATTCTCTCTACCGGAATCTGTCAAATCTTCTCCACCAGACTAACACCGGCGTTTGTTTAAAACCAAAATACAACTTCAATTAACATTCAAATCAACTTCCTTCTTGTATGCGACAACCCGAGAGAATAAACAGCACATCATTGTCTTTTTAAAGGTTTTTTCCGTTTTATTTTGTAATTTTTATTTTTCCGCCAAGAGTTTAGAAGGTAGCAGTTATAAGTGTGTCTTTGTCTCCATTTGCTAATTCCTTACGCTGGGCAAACCTCACGTTGGATCCTCGGCACATGGTGGCTACCTCAGCTGCATTGCTTAACTGGCATGTCATGTGGATGTGTTATGTCATGCAGGCCTACCATATCATGCAGATGAGTCATGTCATGTGAATGTGTTATGTAACATGGACCTGTCATGTCATGCAGACGTGTCATGTCATACTGACTTATGTCATGCAGATGTGTCATATCACGCAAACGTGTCATATCATGCTGACATGTTATGTCATTCAGACGTATCATGTCATGTAGACATGTCATATCATGCAGTTCTGTCATGTCATGCGGATGTGTCATGCTGTGCGGACGTGTCTTGACAGTGCCTTTTATGTCTCAGGCTGCTCTCTAAGGACCGTCCACATGTCATGTCTGGTTCTAGGTCCCTGACCACCAGGTTAACCATTTATGGGCACCAGGTCAGCTGTTGTGGGCACCAGGTCAGCTCTTGTGGGCACCAGGTCAGATGTTGTGGGCACCAAATCAGCTTATTGTGGGTACCAGATCAGCTTATTGTGGGTACCAGATCAGTTTATTGTGGGCGCCAGATCAGCTTATTGTGGACACCAGATCAGCTTATTGTGGGCACCAGGTTAGCTGTTGTGGGCATCAGAACAGCTTATTGTGGGCACCAAGTCAGCTTATTTTGGGCACCAGGTCAGCTGTTGTAGGCACCAGGTCAGCTGTTGTGGGCACCAGGTCAGCTTATTGTAGGCACCAGGTCAGCTTATTGTGGGCACCAGGTAGTCATGACTGTCTTGTTGGTAGTCTGATTGTATTGTAGATAGGCTGACTAGTATGATTGTCCTTTGGATTGTTGGACTGTAGTCTGAGTGTCTTGTGGATAGTAAGACCATCATGGATAGCAGGTTATATGGTAATCTGACTGCCTTGTGGGTAATCTGAGTGTTTGTCTTCTTGATAGTCTGATTACTGTATTTTGGGAGTTTTGAATAGTCTGACTGTCTATTGGATGATCTGACTTAAGATGTAAATAGTTTAAGCTGACTTGAGCATAGTCTGAATGACTTGAGTTGGTAATCTGATTAATGTGTGCGAGTTGTCAGAGGTATTACATAAATTGTTAGATTTTCATTTGAGGGAAATTAACTGCTGAAACGATCTGTCATTAAACTGGTTTGAATGTCATGCAGAATGCCTCACTGGCTTTTAGACAGTACAGTAGTCTGACTGTTGTGGATAGTCTAAAGAATAGTATGGTCTGATTATCATATGTTATGCTGACTTGTCATGTGTATAGTCTTGACTATCATGTAGGTAATTCAGACTGTCACTTAATCTGACTGCTAAATTAGTAGCCTGGATTATCAACACCAGTGCAGTAGATGATGGGTGCCCACACCTGGGTTGCAACATGAACGCCCTATAGCCTGAGATCCAGCGTGGGTCCCCCGGCCCCCACGGGCTCCCGGGGGGAGGGGGAGTGCTGCTAGTGCTGGGGGAGGGGTCTACCTCATAACAGTTCTACCCAGTTGGACGAAATAGTTACCTGGGGATCATCATAATTCAAGTAACGAGTAGCATTTGTTTGTTTTCTAAAAGGGGAAAAATAATAAAGACATTGTTTATGCAATCTTGACTGCCTTGGTAGTGTTACGGCACATTCCCAGTGTTACCTAAGAGTTACTGCGCCCAGGGGATTTGTTGGCTACTCGATGTTCTTCTTGTCTTAACATTTTGGTTGAGAGGTTTTGCCGTCCACATAGTAGCACTCCTCTTTGCCCACGCCCGTTAGCGTCCATTATTATCTTGTCTCATCATTCCCAGAATATACAGTGTGGTAAACAGAACCAACCCTTGGAGAAACACTGCTGGCTCGGTGTCCTACGCTACTCCGCAAATGTCCTATGCTGCTTTACAGTGTCCCTTAAGCTGCTTATTATCCATGTCATCCGCTGTTTCGCTAGTTTTCAGATGCCATTCACTCATTACCTCTAAAACTACTCACCATCACTTCCTTGGCTGTTGCGTCATCTCTGTTCACTTTCCAACTGTTTATCATCATATCACATTTCTTCGCTTGGTCATCCTCCTCTGCTTCTGCTCATCAGTGACCCGCGCTTCTCTCAGTGTAATGATTCTGGCTCAGTCACACGCCCCACCAGTGTCATGGTCACACCTCCTGGGACAATGTGCACCGTGTGAATTTTGTTAGTGTCTTCTATTTTGGCGGGAATGGCCTGGTGTGCGCGATAATAGTGCCGCTGCTATGGCCTCCCCACTCATTTTTCGGCTGTGTCCCTGCGCCAGAATCATTGGCTAATCTTTCGTTCTTGTTTTCTATGTTGCCATACGGCATTTTGTTGTAAGTATTAATGCTACTGGTGTTACTACTTTAACTACTCTTTCCAAGGTACAAATGAAGTAGCTCTTGACGTATTTTTGTAGAAGGGCTTTGTAAAATAAATGACCACCGGAAAGGTTGAAAAAGGATTCACCTCTGAAGACCTTCTGGCATAAAAAATATTGTCCATTACCTGTTGAAAATGGCGCAAATGCCCTGCTTTGTTTATGAGTTGGCGTCCAGTTGAGAGAAAATGAGGATAAGTTTTGGACAAGTGTTCCTGTTGGTTTCTTTAGCATCCAGCTCTTAGGTTGAGGTTGGATCAGTGGATGGTCCTCGCAGGCCACAAGTGTTGCCTGCAGAATGTGATTTGCCGCCTGTAGGACCTGGCTTGTGACTGCCGGGTTTGTGGCTTGTAGGAACCCTAATTGTAACTTGTAGGATTTATATCCTGCAGGATCTCATTTGTAACTTGTCGGGCTTGTGGCCTGCTGGACCCCATTGTAACATATAGGAATGTGGCCTGAAGAACCTAGAATGATCAGCAAAGCTTGTTGACTGCAAAACATGACTTGTGGTCTGTAGGCCAGGGCTTGTAGTGTGCAGGTCGTGACTTGTAATCTGTTGGGCGCAGCTAATCTATTTGGTGTTGTCAGACCTCTGGAGACAACGATTTCCTGTGGAGTTGACACCAGCCTTGAAGAGATAAGAAGATCTTCAGGAGTGTGTAACTCCCAGGAAAACTTGGTATAATCCTGGGTCTGCTAACACCACTCCAGATGCTCTAATCACGCCTACAGCACCTGCAGCCGCGTTCTACAGGCCACGTATTAGTCGTTACCCAGCCTCAAGACCCAAGGCTTGGGGCGGGAGGGAGCTGTGACGTCATAGACAAAGGAGAAAGAGCGGGTCTCTGGCCAGCCAGAGGCGCCCACGTGGAACACATCGACATAAGCTGTACAGTACTCTAGGCTGCCCGTTAATATATGGCATCATACATATTGGTTTATGTATGGTTTGATGTACCTGCTTTTAAGATATATATACAAATTGTTGCCTTTGGGCGACTTTTAATACCTGTTCATATGGATGTTGTTGGTCTCTTATTATTGTAAAGGGTGTACAGTGAACACATGCATAGTATAATTATATGAAATTATATTACCTGCCGCAACCATTATCACTGCTGTTCTGATCAGTGTTATTTTCCCCCTTTGTATAAATCCGGTCACAACCATGTGGTGAGAAGTGTGTGCCATAACCTGGTGCAAGTAACAGTGCAGCAACGCAGTAATAAACTATTGACAACCTCACTCGTAAGTCTTTTATTTACTACCTTTACTTACTACCTTTCATCTCTCCCCAGCCTGTGGATTCACAGAGGTTAATACGGTGAATATTTCTCGTGACTCAAGATATAAAAATGCAGCTAACTGGATATCTAGAGATGTATATTGTAAATGCAGCTAACTTGTTGAATTGAGCCATAACAAAAGTAACCATCTACACTTTTATAGCTTAATTCAAGAAGTTAGCTGCACTTCTATAGCTCAGGTTACCAGTAAAATTAAACGTGGGGACTGTAGTGCTTCTGACCTCGGGTAAACACGGCGACTGAACGACGATAACCTACTGTGCACACCCACCATCCATCACTCTATGTGGTAAGTCAATAGTGAATTAAACCAACAAAGAATTAGCATAATCTCTTTTTTTTTATTCAACATTAAAGTGTATGGAGCATTTATGAAAAAAAATAAGTTCTTTGGTATATGATGGTAAAATACGAGTTCTTTGTTCAGTATGAAGGTCAGATGGCAGCTATCATAGTGTGCTTGTAGGTCAGATGTCCTCAGTTCATTCATGTTTGCTATAAGCGATGGTGCACTTTAAGCGTGTCTGTTGTGTTTGAACGTGCACTTTAAGCGTGTCTGTCTGAACGTGCACTGTAAGCGTTTCTGTTGTGTGTGAACATGCACTGTAAGCGTGCCTGTTGTGTATGAACGTGCACTGTAAGCGTTTCTGTTGTGTGTGAACATGCACTGTAAGCGTTTCTGTTGTGTGTGAGCATGCACTGTAAGCGTTTCTGTTGTGTATGAACGTGCACTGTAAGCGTGCCTGTTGTGTTTGAACGTGCACTTTAAGCGTGCCTGTTGTGTTTGAACGTGCACTTTAAGCTTGTCTGTCTGAACGTGCACTGTAAGCGTGTCTGTTGTGTGTGTGTACGTGCACTGTAAGCGTGTCTGTTGTGTGTGTACGTGCACTGTAAGCGTGTCTGTTGTGTGTGAACATGCACTGTAAGCGTTTCTGTTGTGTGTGAGCATGCACTGTAAGCGTTTCTGTTGTGTATGAACGTGCACTACGTGCCTGTTGTGTTTGAACGTGCACTTTAAGCGTGCCTGTTGTGTTTGAACGTGCACTTTAAGCTTGTCTGTCTGACGTGCACTGTAAGCGTGTCTGTCTCGTACCTTGTGTTAGGTGTAACCAGCTTACACACACACACACACACATACACACGTATACCGCTTGGGAGACTCAAAACCTTGGCGACCACTCAGAAACCTTGGCTAATCGACCACTCAGAAACCTTGGCTAATCGACCACTCAGAAACCTTGGCTAATCGACCACTCAGAAACCTTGGCTAATCGACCACTCGGAAACCTTGGCTAATGACCACTCAGAAACCTTGGCTAATGACCACTCAGAAACTTTGTCTAATGACCACTCACAAAGGTTAATGCACGAGATTAGTGGTGGATACAGAGATGTGGATAGAGGTGGATACAGAGATGTGGATAGAGGTGGATAAAGAGATGTGGATAGAGGTGGATACAGAGATGTGGATAAATTGAAGGCGTGAGTGGTGTGGATACATTGTAGATTTTGTCCAATATAAAACTCTCATGTGATTTTGTCCAATGTGAAACTATCTTTTGTCCATTAGAATTTTTGCCCCCCTTAATATTTTGTCACAGGAAGTCTCTCCTCCAGGGTACAGGTGACCATCACACCGTTAATAATACCAGGTGCTAAATATAGTCCACAGTTCTTAAGGTTTTTTACGGTAGGTGTCGACCACTTCATTCCTTCCTTCCTTCCTCTATCCTCTCTTCCTCTTTCTACCCTTCTTGTCTACCTCTTTCTCTCTTCCCTCCTTCTATTCTCCCTCTTCTCCCTCCCTCCCTGACATCGTGGCACCATATTGTCTCCCTTTAATGGAAGTTATGTCACAGGAAACGGAAAAAAAATATGTTGTTTCCTTGCGCGACAATGATACTGACTTACAGCCTTATACCACAACAACACTGGGGTGAGATTAGTGCGTGGTACATTAAGGCATTTCATAATAATAATAATAATATACTGTAGTTAAAAAGGTCATGTTCCTTGGATATTTATGAACATAGTATCTGAAGGACTGGCCGTGTGTTAGAATTTTCCTATCACCACCACGTCACCACCAGCACCACTATCACCACCACGTCACCACCAGCACCAGCACCACCACCACGTCACCACTACTACCACTAGCGCCATCATCACCACAACCACTATCACCACCACCACGTCACCACCAGCACCACTATCACCACCACGTCACCACCAGCACCAGCACCACCACCACGTCACCACTACTACCACTAGCGCCATCATCACCACAACCACTATCACCACCGTCATAGCTCTATATCTG